AAAACAGGAATATCCTATCAGGACCGGCCCTGATAGGAGGCATATTAACGAGAGAACCGAGTGACTTGGTTGAGGGTGCATTTAATTTACACCTGACATTTTTGTTGATTGACTGATTTAGCACATATGATTTAACCTAATATAATATCCCGATGATTGCTAGAGGTCTAAGTTTCTTTGAAGATGCTAAACTGACTATTTGTTTATAGATTAGTCAGTCTAAATGTTCACCAAAGAAAATGATAGCAAATCTAAAATTTCCACTATTTTCTGTTTCTTGTAGGCTACTATAGATGCTTAAACCAGGGCCATACTTTATGCAAAACAATAAACTATTAAGTTTCATTCAAATTTGTGGCCTGATTTGATTAACTGAATTGATTGGAAGGCCTCTTTGCCATCACCCTAATTTCAAGCTCCTTCTGCAGATTAAAACCCAGACTCTGATTGAAACACCTCTTAAAACATTGATATTACTTCTAGTCAGAATAGAAAATGCTGAAGTACATTTTATTTTGCCTACTGGAGAAAAGAAATATTTAAGGAAGTCAGTGGCATTTAGTCTGACTTTACAAAAAAGCTCCATACTGAAGCAATATAATCAGTAAAAAAAAAAAAAAAAAAAACTAGTAAAGACTGACTTAATATCTGAAGATCAGCAGGTAAACCTTAGAAATCTTCCCTATAAACATTTTTGTGTTGACAAAGATCTGTACCAATGAATGCTAACTAGTTTAGCCACATAAATAATCAGTGGTTAAATTAAATTGTACAGTTATGTGTAAAGCAAGAGGAATAGTTTTAAATATATTGCAGATATTTTCACAAAAACAATATTAATTATTTATTATGTCAGCTTCTGTTGAACCAGTGAAAATTTCAAACAGCAAATTAGTAGATATTAAGCTACCTTTATATTGTTGTTCCATGTGCTGCTGTTTTAATCAGCAGTTATTTAAATTTTTTTGGTGGAGTTACCTTGGTTGACCCTGTCAGCTGTATTAATCAACCAGATCAGATGCAAACATTTGGCCAAAATCACCAAGTTCAAAGTACTACTACTAATGTTGTTAATCTATTCAAAACCGACATGTTGTGCATTATTTTCCCTTTAACCTGCTCTGTAATTAAATAAAAACGTAATAATTCGCCAAAGAAATAATGACTGGTTCACAAAAGGGTCTACTAGAGGTTTGCCTTGATAAAAATAAGTTCAACGGTTTCCTTACTGTATAGATTTAATGTGTTATTTATCTTAAAAAGATTCTTGGGAACAATGAATACTAAAAAAAATAAAATAAAAAAATCTTAGTGTAATTAGCCTAGTTTATTAAATAGATCTATTAGAGCTAACGGTAACAGGATGTTTGTGGTGAAAAAAACCCTATAATATTGTTGTGATAGACTTAAAATACTTTACGTTGTATCTAATATTTTCTATTTGAGAGTCTTTTCAAATTAAAAGTTTGAGTCCTAAAACACTACAGCATGTATCCATCTGCATAAGCTCCATTTTAGGAACCCATTCTCAAACTGGGCTGAGGCCGAACACAATTTTTCTAAAGGCTACAAATTGCCCCCAGACCACATTTTAGACACCTCTATTCTAGCTCCATCCAGAATAGGGGAAACTTTTAGACTGTGTGTCAGACTGTCAGTTTACAGCAGATTGGTAGATACTACTTTCTTTATAGTCCATTCTATTCATCAGGTGGATTTAACTAGTCTATCTAGATTTTTAGCTTCCACAACACACCGGAATTATTTAATTTTCCAATGAGCTCACACTATTTAAAGAACATGCAAGCACACAATAAAATTAGATACCCCTTCACCACCACCACCAAAAAAACAAAACAGTAGAGCCAACATAGGAACTGTTGTTTTTATTCTTATAAAGGAAACTATCTTCTAATGTGAGCTTGAGAAGGGTTACATTTAATTTAAATAACTTAGTTCTATAACATTCTAATCTAAATTTGATTGGAATTGAGACAAATAGAAATTTGTTTTGATTCTGAGTGATTCTTTTGGTTTATTGCTCAAAAGCATTTAAACCAGTCACAGTTTTATCTCTAATATTTCTTCCTAAATACAAATGCAATGCCACACAATCCAGAAATCTGTCATCTCCTGAAATGAAATGCCTTCTGGCTCCCTCTAGTGGTGAATAAGTTCCTAACTAGAATTGACTCCCAGCTAAGCGTCCTCCCTTTTCTTCTTCTAAAATAATGTTATTTTACACATAACAGCTATTAAAATAAAATTCTCTCTGGTCTCTAATAAAAATAAATGGAATTTATTATATTTATTTAAATAAATTTCTGTTATCTCTTTGCATTTGGAACCCGAGTGCATTTCTCTCTTATAAATCATTATAATTGAATTCATCTTATTTCAACAGCATATTTAAATAACATGATATGTTCATAAGTGCTGTAAAAAATACAACAATAAAGATATTAAAATCAAATACTCTACTTCTAGAGAAAAACAACCCATCATATATATATATATATATATATATATATATATATATATATATATATATATATATATATATATATATATATATATATATATATATATATATATATATATGATGGGTTGTTTTTCTCTAGAAGTTGAGTATTTCATTTTCATATCTTTATTATTTATCTTTTTTTTCTCTAGAAGTATATATATATATATATATATATATATATATATATATATATATATACATGGAAGACAACAGAACTAGTTCATTTAAGTCAAACACTAGAGAATAAAGTTTTAAGTCTCATGTGAGGCAGGAGCTGAAACTAGCCATCAAACCTGGAGGTTTGATGACCCATAGAGTTTACCTCAGTAAAAGAGAAAACATGGTTTGGCCGCAGACTATACGCTATAACCACGGAAATAAATATTTATAATTAAGCACTTTCATATTTGTTCTTGCACTAGGGAGGAAAACAATTTTAATAATTAGAATGATGTGCTGTTTCAAACCCAAAGTTACCAGATCAGCAGAAGCCTGGAGACTAGATTAGTCAAGGGAGGTATAGCCTTATGTTTGGAGTGAGATGTGGAAACATAGAGAGAACTAACCATGCTTCCTTCAGTGCTCCCTTAGATATTTCCTCCAATGTAACCACAAACAGCCAATCATGTACATAACCATTTTAATGCCTGGAGCTGCAACACACTGACAGCCAAACAGGCCAGGATCAGATGAGAGGAACTAACAGAGGAGACTCACCTTCTATCAGGAATCCCATAATGCATTCTGTTCATGTTCTGGCTGGTTCAGAGTTCAGCTAGGAAGTCTGATTCCCTCATTTGTTTAATCAGAATTTTATAAAAATAGATGTGCAGTGAAAAGAAAAACATTTAGAGAAAAACTATAGTGTAACACCTAAACTACAGGAACTTATAGGAATGTACATTCACATCTTAAAGAGATTAAAATCACCAAATGTGCTAATAAATTATTTTATTTTGATTTTCTACTGTGGGTATCATAGCCAAGATAAATATATTGGATTTTGAGGTCAGGGTTGGAAAGAATAATTAAACTTCTCAGCTACTTTTCTGACTCCATGGAACCTTTTTGTTATTTTACATACTTCAAACTTTCCCTGTTCTTCCTTTGTGTGGAAAAACAAACATTTTGCACCAATCTCTTCATAAGATTAATGATGAGTGTTTGTTTTATTTTCTTTATTGCACAGAAGTGTTGGCTGAGTCAGACTCACACCTGCAATGCAAGACAAGTGTCTGGGTGTTAGGCTTATGTTATGATGCTCAAAAAGAGATAGAAGACAGAAAACTTTTTCTAGGTCAGAGAAGGGCTGAGTGATTGATCTGTGTGGGCTAAATTACAAATAAAGTGCAGACTGAGTGAATACAATTGTTTGACAGATATTTATTTACTTTTTCCATTTAAATCTTATTTCTTGTTATTACACAGATGTTTAAAGGGTGAGAAAATTCAAATCTCGGTAGAAAAATATGGCAGAGAAAAAAAAAGAAAAGCATAATGAAATCAATTGTAGGCTATCCATTCTTTAACATCCTTTCTACATTTTTTGAAAAGTAAACATTATTTTATATTGTCAAAAACAATTTCTGTTCTTCCAATGGTTATACATTTTTTGGTTTAGAAATTCATAAAATCCGGATCATGAGAAAAAGGAGGAGATTCCAGCTGCTCCACAAGCAGCCGACATGGGTTTTCTCTGCAGGGTGGCTGGGCTCTACCTTAGAGATTAGGTTAAGAGCTTGGTCATCCAAGAGAGACTTGGAGTAGAGCCGTTTCTCCTCCACATAGAGAGGAGTCATCTTTTCAGATGCCCCCTGGGCACCTCCCTCGGGAGGTTCTACAGGCACGTTCTATAAGAAGGAGGGAGTCCCAAAAAACATGAAAAGAGTGGGCCACAACATTTCCACTTTCCCTCTAATTCCCTGACAATAATTTACCTTTTTACCTTCTAAAGGTTGATAGAAAATATATATTTCTCCTTAGTTCCCTGAACTAGATTTTTGTTTTTATCAGAGTTTTACATAAATGAAACCATTCATTTCTTAAAAAAAAAAAAAAAAAAAAAAAAAAAAAAAAAAAAAATATATATATATATATATATATATATATATATATATATATATATATATATATATATATATATATATATATATATATATATATATATATATATTTATATATATATATATATATATATTTTTAATTATATTTAATAGAGTGTAGGAATGTTGTTGCTTTCCCTGTTAGCATGAAAATTTTATTCTAGAGTTTTCTTTTAATTTTAGATTTGTATGATAACCATAATATTGATTAAGTCTAGATGATCATGACCTGAGTTAAGAGCTAAAGCCAGAACCTTGGTGACCCTGAGGCTCCCTGATATGTTTAGAAGCTCCTGCCTCAAACATCTGAAGATTTCCACACCAGATCACATCATGATGTTCATTTATTTTAAAACAAACTCCAGAAGGAATCTGTACCATTTCTAAAGCCCCCAAAATATAAAATTGTAGGTTTATTTTTAATAAGTTGAAAAGCAACAGGCAGTAGTGGGGAACTAAGCAGCCAATTTATTTTAAAAACACAGCAGACAAATACATAATGTGGATGATGATGTACTAAAGTTCATTTTTAAAATACAGCTAATAAACTCTGAGGACATATCTGCATCCCATGCACCATTATAGCAACATGCACATTACTTATGACACACTAACAGTATTTTTGTCTAATGCAAAAAAGATGTAAAGATCTGAATTTGAATGAATATCTGAGGTAACGGCTCTTATATTTGAATTAGGGAGTGAAATTAATGCAGTTCTGTGAAGCAGTGGAGGAAGCAGAATTCACTCAGGAGATTAAGTGAACATCAGAGCGGAGCGAGGACCTGCTGAGGTGAGGGAGGCTGTTATACAGGAAATTACAGGAAGATTTCTTTTTCATTTCTTAAAGAGTGTCATTAATCTTAGTACATTTTTTAAAACAACTATTTTCACTAATTGGATACTAACATGTTTTTCTTTCCAAGATGCTGTGGAGTTTGGTTTTCATCTGGGTTATAAGTAAGTGGCTCATTTTATTCATCTGAATGTCTATCCCATCATTGTTAAAATATTACAGAGAGAAGTAAGAGTTCAGATTCACAACAAACAGATCTAGGAAAGAGGAAAAAGCCGAATCTGTTTTTTTAAGGTTTTAAATTTAAATATTCACATAATTTCCATAACCTCTCTGGAAGTTTCTGCATTTTTTATTTATTTATTTATTGTTCCTACTTGCTTTGATTCTGTTTTATTTCGCTCTATTTTAATCATTTAAAGCACTTTACATTGTCTTTGTACTTAATTGTGCTATAAAAATAAATTTGCCTTGCCTTGCCTTGGAATTTACAGCAACCCAATATGTAGCTGTGCAGACAACAGGTAGGATCAAATATTTTATTTCTCCTGAAATAAATCAAAATGTTAGATAAGCTATATATAAGCTAAATGCAACACAAGATTAATCTTTTTTTTTTTTTGTATTTGATCCCCAGATCTCTGCAACAAACGGAGCATAAACCTGATGGTGAAGAAAGCATCTCAGTCCTCAACCTTTGATTCGATACATGATGATGGAGAACACATTATCCTTTCCAGAGCCTTTGATGAGGATCCTGACACATGTTGTGTCACCGAGAATCAGACTAACTCCTGGTGGAGAATTGAACTGCAGGGGATTTACAACATTTCCTGCATCTCTATCTATACTAACCCAAATTATGTAGCTTACATATCTGGAGCTCAGATCTATATCGGGAACTCTCTAGAGAACAACGGCACCAACAACAGGCTGTAAAAACAACATGATAACTTAATGGGATTTATTTAATGTTTCCAGACCTTAAAATAAGATTTTCATTGTCATTGTTTTCAATGTAATTGTTAATTATTTATCTTTGGAGGCAGTTTTCAAACATGGAATTCAATGTAATATTTTTTGCTTAGATTTCTTTAGAAATACGTCACACTGGTGATTTTCAAGAACATGCCGGGAGCAACAATGAAACCTGATGACAATTGTTTACTTGTTTTTTAAACACAACATAAAATGTTAGAGTCAGTCTTTTACAAATCCTGAAAGTCTCAAAAAGCTGAAAGATATTGAAGTTTTTAAAGTAGAACCATCACAATCTCACTGCTTTCATTAGTGGTTCCTTCTTCTGCATCTTTTGTCACAATAATGTTCAGTAGTATTCAGTGTCTGATCAGCTTTTTGTTTGGATATTTTTCCTCATCCAGGGTTTACAACATCACAGCTGACAAAGGACAGGAGATAAACTATAAAAAATTTTATATGACTGTCTTCAGCTTTACCACCTCAGCGTTGGGGCGATACGTCACTGTGTTCAGACCAGGCCAAAATCATCTGGTTCTTTGTGAGGTGAACATCTCTGGCACCGAGATAAGTATGTTTGATTTAATTTACTGCCATAAAGAGAGAAACATAAAATAATTAGTTGCTGCTGATAGTTTGATTCTTAAATGTTTCTATTAATCTTTAAACTTAGACATGTCAGATATATCAATACATTTCCAAACTAAGTGACATTTTTTTTATCCGTTTCTATAGATATTATTTCTATTATTTTTATGCACTTCAGCTCAACCATTTTTCTCTGCTCCAAATAATGAATAAGTCTGTCTATAATGTTCTGTATAAAAAGACTTTTCATCCTGATGCATTTTGATCATATTTAAATACATACATCCATTATAAGCAATAATGTTGTATAAATTTGAGGGTTTTATTGATGCCTCTAAACCAGAATGGTTTAGAGGCATCAAGTGTAATTACGGTATAATAAAACTTGAGTTGATTTTAGATTTTCAAACAAAAATTCCTAAATAAACTGAAATATATCCTCATACTCTGACTAATGTTTTGAGAAATTTATTTTGGTAAATAACCCGTTAACCTTTTGAATCCATTTCCAACCGTCTGGGATGGTTCTAGATGATACTGGACCACTGTTCCTGGAAGAAATGTTAGGTTTAACAAATCGGGTGTTTTTCTTGTAGTGATTTTAACTTTAAGTAGAACTGAGGTCAATGTATTTGCTAAACCTTCAGGCTCACCTTTTATTCATTCTTATACAAGTTCTGATGTTTCATTGTCCTGTTGGAGAAACTAACTGTGTAAAAGTTTTACCATCTGACCCTAAGTGTTACCTCCATTAAAAGGAAACTGGTTTTGAACACAAACATAGCCTGTCAGCTGGAATCTGCAGCTACCTGCATGGACAAGACAAGGCTTCCAGTTTCATGGTCAGATCATATCACATAACTGATTATCATCAAATATGGTTGCTGTCATGCTGAGAGTCCCAGTTGCTGCCAGAGGTAGTGGTGTTTTAAGCAAAAAGAAAAAGAAATGGGAAATCTAACAACCTAACCTCAAACAAACACCTAGATGTTTAAAACTTTGACACAATCCAGAGTTTCTACAGTACAATGATGCAGACATAGAGGCTGTATGCTCTGCCTGTATTCAAAACTCTATGCAAATTATTGGCCATGTTAGAGTCTCTTATTTTTAAAAGCCATCACCAAAACCATGACATACGAACCAATGAGGAGAGTAAATAAACCTCTGACAATTTCTAAATAATAGAAAGAAATGATAAGATCTGAATAGGATGCAATGTAAGTTGTTAATATTTTAAAGTAATGTAGTTTATGCAAATTGATAACTGTATCAGGATTATCAATTCTAACACGCAGTTGGATTTATATGATGTTTATATTTCAGTTGTTTAATTAGAAATGTAGTTTTAGCATCACTGACATGAAGTTGTGCAGAGGGAGAACAAAACCTTTTGCTTATGTCATAAATAATTGTTTTCCTCATTGAAATAATTTCATGCTACCGTCATTTAGATCTGAAAAATACATTTCTCTCATCAAGCTAGTCTCCTCCCTGAATAACTTTGACTTGTTAAACCTTCTGTTTAATGTCTAAATCCTGTCCAAGATACTACAATGTGAACATTGCACTGTTATACTGTAGGATGGCCAGAGATATAAAGTGTTTCTTTGTCCTGTTTCTCTATCTTCAAGAATCTCCCTTTAAGCTGATCAACATTAGCAAGACCTGGGAAGACTCTCGGTCCTACTGCAGGGCTAATCACACAGATCTGGCCTCCATCCGGGATGAACAGCTTCAGGTCTTTGCTGAGATAGAGGCTGAGAAGGCCAACAGTCCCTTTGCATGGATCGGCCTTCGCTACGTCTGCAGCAAGCAGTTCTGGTTCTGGGTTGATCGTTGTACAATTGATTATGAAGACTGTGGCATAAGAGGAGCCATGAAAACACAAGGGGAGCATAAATGGTTTGAAAGGTCTGATTATGAAAAGTTCAATTTCATCTGCGCTTTGTAGGGCTGGAAGATTTTGGCAAAAATCTAAATTGCGATAATTTTCAACCAACATTGTGATTGCGATTTCAAGTTGATTTATCTTTGCAAGCCTGTCAATTTTTCACTCCAGGGTTTTCGTTTCTTTCCCTTACCTTGAAAGCATATTGTTTCATAGTCCAGTGTTGCAGGGCTTTACTGTAATAGTTGTTTGAAAAGTTCTTACTTCTACTTGCATGCATAGACCTGCATGCTAGCTGGAAGTTCTCTTTCCTTTTTTGTGGAAGAGAATCCACTTTAAACATATTTCTGCTACCTAGAGAGCTGGAGTAAGAAAACTTTTGTCTCTAAGTCTTGTCAAATGTAATGTGACAGAAACTGAGTGTCTGTGCAATTTCAACATTGCATTTTGTTAAATTGTGATTATATTGCAAATGTAATGATTTACCTAGCTCTAGTGCATTGTAATACAACCTCAGCCTAAACACTCCTCCTCTGATTGTAGCTGTAATATTTTCATTTAATCATTTTTGTTTTACTTTATCCTGATATTTTGAATGTTAATTTAATAATTTTAATTGTGTGAGATGTGAGAATTATCATACATACATACATAACTGACTTTGTACATTTTACAGTAGTTATGTAAGTAAGAGGGTAAAACCCACTAATCAATAAAGAAATCCTATTAGAATCCAACCTCTTTCAGGGTCAGTCTGTGGTAGAAATCTTGAAAGTTGATGGAAATAAGATGCAAATTAAAAAGCATTAGGGGAGGGTGTGTTCCAACTACAGAGGAATCACACTCTTAAAGGGGAACGCCGTTTTTTTTTTTACATTGGCCCCTTGATTTTACGTTATTACACCATGTTCTACTCACCCATATGAGTTTTGTGTCATTTGGAGCTGTTCTGAAGATATTCGGTTTTGTTATATCCAAGTAACGTCTTCCTATGGGCAACGAGTTTATGGCACAAACTAAACAGTTCATAATTTATCATTTATGGTACGCCATCATTCATAACATGTAGGCGAATCACTGTCCCCCAGACATCCACGGTTATATGTTTTATATTTATATGTTTAAAAAACAAAGAGCGTGTATGACACCCTTTTTTAACTTAACATTATAAGCTGTTTTTAAAGTAATGTAATTTAATTCTTCTTCTTGGACTGAAGATCAATGCAGCTACACTAAAAAAACCTTTCACACAAAGCAGGGGCTGGTAGGACAGTCTTTAACCTGAGTGACAGGCTAGATAAAGCTGAGTAAATGGACAAACCTCTAGCTGTACATGTCAGGTATGCATCTAGCTGTATGGTTGATTCCAGGGTGTAAAGGAAATTCATGGAGAAAAAGTCCTCTTTAGCAGAAGCCCTTAAAGAGTCAGTTTGACTCAAAGGAGGCTTATGGTGTTCAGGAAGGTGTTCCTTGATGTTTTTGAGATCTAAATCAAACGGTTTTCATCATCTGGCTTTACATGTGTAGCATATTTCACAATGCATTGCATGTTCTGCCAGTGTGTTTACACACCTTAAAATAAACCTGCTCTAAATCATTTGTCAAATTGGGATTTAAGGAATTAACCAGCTGGATTGTTCAGGTCCTCTGTGCATAAACAGCATTTTGGATTGATTTATCCTTAAAGTAGTAGAAAACTGAACATGACAGAGCAATATTTGATGACATATGTCTATTTACCTTCTTTGAGTGTCTCTTTATCAAGATTGATGGGCTGACTGAGACTTAGGGCCGGATTTATCAAGATCCAATTTTGCGTGCAGTAATTTGTGCTCGCAAGATGGAATTTAGCGCGAGGGGCTGAACCATGGTTTGCGGGTGATTTAACAAGAGCGATTGCGTAACTGGTGGCAGGTGCAAAACTGTTGGAGACGCCCTACTTAAATGATGGTTTTGCGCGTTTTGTGGTTTGCGGCATGGCGAGTTTGGACAGCAGAAAGCGCAAAAGGAAATTCAACCCCATGGAAACCCCAAAAGGAAATTCAACCCCATGGAAACCCCAACAAACATTTAAGTGAGCTACAGCAAAGAAGTGTGACCGTCACACAGAGGAACGCTATATGTGAACAAATCTGTAATAAAGTAAACGCTGTCAGTGAAACCTTGCGAACAGTGGATGAAGTAAAAAGAAGATACCAGGATATTAGAAGGCGAACCAAAGAAAAACTGGCATATAACAAAACATCTGCGAACAAAACAGGAGGGGGCACAGTAGATGAGATGCCTCTGACCAGCATTGAGGGACAAGTACAGCAGACGCTCTGTGAGGAGCAAATCACTGGAATTGCAGCTTCAAAATGTCAATGCTGGATAAACGATATGTTTTGATGATCGTTTCCTCGTTCATTGCAAAAATATTAACACAGAGTGAAAAATGCGTTCTCTGCGTCTCCTTACTTCATTTCGATGTCTCCTTCTTGCGACAATAACCGCTGCCATGTGTGCGCAATTACGCATACAGACCATTTGCACCTTCTTTTGAAACGTGTTAAATATAGAGTCAGATACCATTAGCAAAATTGCTTTCAGGTTTAATAAATCCCTTTGCGAGTGCTAAATTAATATATTTACATGTTCTCCTCCCACAAGACGCACTTTTGCGTGTAAACGCCCCAAATTGCATATTCATAGCAGAAAAAGTACTACATGGATAAGAGGCGCTATTTAGCACGTTTTAAAGACCAAATCCTTTTAGCACGCTGTTGATAGATCAGTTTGTACATTTTTAGCGTGCGCAGTGAAATAGCTCACGTTTTTATACACGCAAACCTTTGATAGATCCGGCCCTTAGACTGGTAATAAACCATATAACCACCAAAGTTAAGTATTGATGATGTAGAATTAGAATTAGTTGATGAAGTAAAATTTTTAGGTGTCATTTTCAAGGGCGTAGGAATATGTTTACAATTGGGGGGGACACATGTCGGAAATCTGAAATTCGTAAATATTCAACAGAAACATATCTTAAGTACGCTACTTAAAAAAAAGGCTATTTAATCTTTTTCTTTATTCCTTTATAAATGTGTTTGCAAAAATAATGCATTTAAAATTAACATAATGCATTTGTTCATAAGATGTGAGCATATCACCAAACAAAATGACTGGAGTCTTTTATTAAGCAAAGGGAGATGTCTTGCAAGGGCTTCGGCCCTTGGCATATTTAGTGTCCGCATACGCACTAGAAAATCAAAACAATTCAGTAGGCCACACAAGTGCAAAGTTTGATATGTTTTATTTTGTCAAACTTGCAATAATGGTCAAAAATGAATTTATATAGGTTGACTGACAGAGGGCGCTGACAGTGTGTTGAAGAATTATGGACAGGGCGCTTTGAAGCATCTGGTTCAAAAACGCATTCTAAACCTTTGGTAGAAATCCATCCATCCTTCCATTTTCTGTACACCCTGTCCCTTAGTGGGGTCGGGAGGTGCTGGTGCGGGGTCCACCCTAGACAGGTGGCCAGTCTGTCCAGACCTTTGGTAGAAGCCTTTAATTCCAATTTGCAGTACAGAACAGAGAAAACTACAGAGTTGTCAATGTTGTGTTAATCTGTTTATAGTGTAAAAAGAGGAGCCAGCAGTTTATTTGAGGAAATAAAGATGCAGAAGTTAATTAGTTGGTTAATTAGTGGTTGTGCAGCAGTCCGCTGCACGACCAATGCGGCCGCCGCTGCTAAGAATTAGAATTAATTCTCCCTGTGGTTAACTAACGATCAGGAGCGCGGCAGGTATAACATCTGTCCATTTCCGCGAATCAAAACCATGCAAAAAATAAAAAATCCTCGTAAAACGCACACCCAGACCGGGCTAATTTCAACACAAGTTGTGTTAGGTGACTGTTACTCACACTGACGTTTCTCTTTAAAAAATATCTGAGTAAGTCCTACTGCTGTTTCAGCCTTTTAGTTGGTGGTGGCATTGTACTGAAATGAGATATATAAAAAAAAAAAAAAAACATTTTGGCTAGCGTGGCAAACGTCTAGAGAAAGTTAGCAGTTAAATATTGGATGAGTGATCATCCCAAGACTACGGAAGAGGATTAGGGCCACTGGAGAAAAAAAAATTAAGTGATTTTTACATTTTATTTCAGTTTAATACGGGAAAAAAGTCAGAATTCTGACTTTTATTTTCAGAATTAAGACTTTTTTTTCTCAGAATTCTGACTTTTTTTCTCAGAATTTTGGATCTTAATGTAAATGGGCACCATGAAGGCAGAGATGTGGAGCACTCAGCTTCACAAACAAAGATGTGAGTTGTTTGAGGTGGCCAGTGACACATTGGTGGAAAATGACAGAATTAGGCAACTTTTTACGTGCCTGAGGGGTCCCCTCATTAATGGAGGAGCAGAAGGTCATTAAAATAAGAGAGCTAGTCTCTAAAAGAGACATGGCTATGGCTTGATGCTAACATGTTTGTTGTTAAACATACTTTTGTTATATTACATTTGTGTTGTGTTTTCCAAATAGTGTAGAAAATTAATGGTGGGTTTATAATGTTTACCTTTTATGAGCAGGACAGGAAGCAGAGAAGTGTAGCATTACCTCCAACTAGTTAAACTCATAATTATGAAGTTATTCAACAAATTCCTCAAGTAAAAAAGTGCAACTTTTTTATTTTTATTTTTTAACAGATTTGTTGATTAATTTCAAAAATATGTATTCCTTCCAAATTTCCAAATCTGAAGAATTTTTTAAACCAATATCTACATTATTTAACATTTAGTTTGTTTTAGCAGTACTTCCTGTTATATTTCTTTATACGTATATTTTACATTTTCTTGCACAGCAAGCTCAGCAGATTTGAAATTGTGTGCTTGTGTAAACACAAGTAGTCAATCTTTACTCTAAACATATATTCTGTTTATTTTTTAGTTAGACTTCTTGTTTTTATATATCTGTATAGTACCCCCCCCACCAAAAAAAAAAAAAACTGTAAATTGATTAGAAATATTAATCATCTGTCAGATTTCTGAGAAAAAAGTCAGAATTCTGAGATTAAAGTCAGAAATCTGAGAAAAAAGTCAGAAGAAAAAAGTCAGAATTCTGAGATTAAAGTCAGAATTCTGAGAAAAGTCAGAATTCTGACTTTTCTCCCCATGTTAAACTAAACAAAAAATTAAAAATCAGTTAACTTTTTTCAGTGGCCCTAATCCTCTTCCTACAAGACTAAGATGCCTAAACCAAAAAGATTCAGTTTCTATATATGAAAGTGAACTGACAACAAGACGTTATAAATAGGCAATATTCATAGCAGCATTCCCGACAGACCATTTTACCTCATTAACAAGTTTCTGACTTTCTGTATCGCTGTTTCCCTCAGTGCTCAAACACTCAACAGTTCACAGAGGGGAGGGGGAGTACAGTGACGTAACGCTATGCTGCGCCTTCAAAATAAAAGCACGATAGTTAAAAAATTGTCAAAATCTAATATTTTGCGGAACAATTTTTGGGGGGGACATATCCACCTGGCTTTTATATTGGGGGGGACATGTCCCCCCCGTCCCCCCCGCTTCCTACGCCGCTGCATGTAAGGGTAAAAGTAGACACATTTTAATGTTGAAGACTACACCTGATTGATTAGCTAACTTCAGTCATACTGTAGATGCCTATACAGTCATCACTTTATGATTAATGTAAATGATAAAATTTGAGCCAGTTTTTAACTTACAGCTGCTATTTTTTTAGCCAGGTTTTGCCACATGTCCAGACTGTGATGAATTCCAAGTGCCTTGTATTTGCCTTTATCTGGGTCTGCATAGTAGGGAAACATTCAATATCACTACAGTATTCTGGTAATGTTTCAAACAAAGGAATTCATACACTTTATCAGATAAAGCCTTACTCATAAGGGCCCCAATCTGGGCATGAGCATTAGTGCAGACCTCTACAAGCTTTATCTCTGATGTTAGCTTGTCCACAGTCTGGATAAAGCCCTTCCTCTCCATGACAACAGAGTTCCAGGATGTGTGCCGCTTGTCGATGGTGGCAACATGAATGATCTCTTTGGTGTCATTCTCCATGGTGGTGTAGCTGCAGTACTGTGCACAGTGGCCTGGTGAGTCATTTCTTCCATCCGCTGAAAAAGTAACAAATACAAAAAGGCAAAAAATAAAATGATCAGCTGCTTACAATCACACTGTCCTTGTCTAATGTCTTTATTACTTGTTGAGCTATGTACCTAGAACAACAACATCTTTCCCTTGAAGGGAACTGAGGGCCTCACTCCTCCTCTCTTCCCAGAAGTATTTCATGGTGTCAACACAGTAACTGTCCTGAATGGAGAAGAAGGTGATCTTGTTCACCATCCCCTTGTTCATAAATTTGAACAAAAGGGCAACCTTTGCATAGTTATTGTCAGACAGTAAAATGTTGGTGGACAAGAGAAAATCTCCTATTTGCATCCCAAACTTCATTTTTGCCTGGGAATTCCATCTCCACAAGCTGTGTCCTTTGGGACAGACCTAAAAGTCAAAGACATGCGAATAAATAAATAAATAATACTGGCTTCCACCAGAAAATTGTCATAGCTAGACAACCATAATCTTACGATGTGCCACAAGGGTCAAGACTTACCCATTCCACACTTATTGCTGTCCCCTTGGTAGCGATGTTTATCTCAAACGGGGCACTGCTGTTGCAAAACGTGCCAGTCTGAAGAAGACGTGTACACTTATCCACCGGCAGGATCAGAAATGTGGCCAGTTGTTTCAAGCAGTCTTCATAAACTATTGCTGCTCTGGCACCGATGTCATCCTCACAGAGGACATGCAGTGGCTGTGGGAAACCAGGTTCTTCATCACATGGTGGCTCATCAGGAGGGTCTTCATGTGCAGGCTGATCATGTACAGTTTGATCTAGTCCAATAACTGGAAGTTCATCAGTGCTCCACCCATTCTATTGAGACACATAATGAAAGCATGTGTGCAACAAATAATTTGACAAAAAAAACTATAATACCACACAACAGTAGCAGTACAAAGAATGACTGATGACATACCGTATACAAATAGGTGGAAAATACTCTTCATCTGAGCTGTCATAATTCTTGCCATCATCACTTTTGGGATGAATGTTGGAAGAACCTTCATCTGTCCAATCAATTCTGTAAAGAAGGGAAAATTAGGGGGGGGGGATAAACAAAAAAAATAAAAATCGATCACAGCACATTTAGAATAGTTAGAAAGTATCACTTACACACTATTCAACAGATCATTGAAAACATTTTCCCCCGTCTCCTCCTCAACAATACTCATGTCCTGTAAGCTGTTGAAAAATAAAAAAAATACACCAGTTATAAGTTTATAAAAGAAGATGACATAGCTCAAAGATGGTACAAGTTAGCTGTTACCTTTGCACCAGGCTCTGAATTTCTGTTGCTCCTGCAATTACATCTTAATGCTCCTCTCTGTAAAGTATAATCACAGCATGTTTCTTTACACATATGGAGAGCAACGGTAAACACTACAGAAAGCTGACTCACTTGCTATGTTATTAGCATCAGAATCTTTGAGTAGCTTTATTTATTACTGAACCAATGTCACAGTACAACAAAACTACAATCAGGTTATGAAGTGTGTTAGGACCACAATAGTTTCAGAGTTATGTATAATATATTACATTTCTGACTGTATATCCCTGTAATTATGACACACTGTAGCTTTAAGTAATTAGATTTAAGGCGTAGGATCACAATCTCTCCGTACGGGACTTGCACCAGGAGAAGACAGGTGAAATGTGCTGAATACAAATTTTAAATTTTCTTATAAACATTGCAAATAGAAAATATTCTTGCATTCGTTGCTCTTTTCATTACAAAGTTAATGATGTTATAAAAGTATACGCCTACATGACAAAATTGAGCGTGCGCCTAACAGTCAAGTTTTTGTACGAACAGAATACCAGACAGTGAATGCCACAAATAACCAGTGGCACCTCACCCAGATACCATTAACGCTGATTATAATATTCATGCCTTTCAGAATTCCTTCCCTACGTCATATCTTATCCATCATATGAATATTAAATTTGATTCAATTAACTCACCTGTATGAGTCCCATGCAGCAAAACTGAAGAATGCTTTTGTCCATAAATTTCCCATCAAAGAATTTATTGTCTCTGATGTCAGCAAAAAAGGACAACCAAAACTCCATACACTATGTACGCAGAAAGCGCCACCAATATTCAATCCATTGATTTGCAGTACTTGCTCCTTCTAGGTAACTTTCAAGAGGGTCGTTAGGCTGAGTGGGAATGAGGATCTCTGGAAGTCTCTGACATAAACATTTTCTGTACCTAGATCCCCTCTAACAACTCCAGGACATCATCCTAAAAGCTTTAATGCTTCAGTGTAATATCCTCCTATCAACTTGGGATCACTATATGTGGTGTATGCATTGAGCATGGGCGTAGGTTTGTATAGGGACCATAGGGACATGTCTCCACCAAAAATGCAAAATGTTTACATATTTTTTACAATCATGGTATAATTCCTGCTCTAAGTGGGTTGCTCTGTCGGGTAAAGTCACATTTTAGTGGCCCTATGCACCAGTTAATGATTAATCAATTACTAAATTAGTTGACGATTATTTAAATAATTGATTAATATGATTAATTGTTTCAGCCCAAGATAAAATACATGAAATGGGCTACGCAGAGTAACTACAGCCCATATGTACAACTTGTATATTGAAGTTAATACTTTAAGTGCTCAGTGTCAGTTCCTCTTATAGTTCCAGTGCACATGTAAATACAATACAATTATTTACCTTCCCTTGAATGTATTATTTTTCATGATACAGACAGAGCATATTAGATAAAAAAAAAAAATAAGAGTGGGGTTTACCTGTTTTCCTCTGCACAATTCTATATCTTCAAAAGAAAACAGGATAAATCCACATATAACAGACATATTTGGACCATATTTGGTTAAATAGGCACTGTTTTAGTTGCTGGTAAGTTTAAATGCAAACCTTTTCAAAGTGGAAAAACATTGATAAACAGCATCTAGTGTGTGTAGTGCTTATAAGATTGGTATTAATGTAGCAAGAAATGCTGCTGTTTTCTTTAAACAAAATGTACTCTGATGCTCACATGAAGCATAAAAAAACAGCATGCATATTTTTGCATAGGACCAATGACATCAGACCAATGAAACTGAAAACAAATAGTGTCCCTACCAAAGTTGAAATCAAACCTACGCCCTTGGTGAAACATCAACGGTTTAGATAGCATTTAATATTTCAGGATCAGGGTTTATATACGTTTATCTTCTGCTATTTTAAAGGGTACTTTGAATGCATTAAGATTTAAAACTTGAACATTCCTCAGACTCTTGAACAGACTCTTTCACCCATTTGTTTGCTTTGATGTACTTGTGCATATTCTCAGTAGTGTTTATTGCTTGCATAGTTATTAGATACAACAATACTGTGTGATCCTTTAGCTCTTAAAGGAACCATTGTATTTTAATCTGTGGCCCTTGTGATTATTTTCTGACGCAAATAGATTATCACTTGGTGATAATCACACCACAGTCTATTAAAGGAATAGTACACCCAAAACATGATTAGCCTTCATTTTCTACTCACCCCCATGCTGAACAACACTCTTGAATACTTTTTTGATATCTCAAATGCATCTGGAGATCTGGGAGGCTTCTTGCTGTCTGCTGACATTCAAATAATGGAGGTCTGTGGCGCCCGAGGCAGAAAGGTCCATAAAAGTCCACAAAAAAACGTGTCAATATTCCTCCATACTGCTCGTCCAATGTATTCCCAGTGTCCTGAGTGGGTAGCGTCCATAATTTACTCGAAACGAAGTCATTTAGAATGTTTTTAGAGCATAAACAGTAGTGTATAGGATTTCCTAAAAGCGAGTTCACGAGTCTACGGAAACCGCGGTAGACCAAACCAGACGAAAGTGCACATTCAGCGTCTGCTCTGCCGATAATGCAAGCGTAGAAGAAGAAATGTGCTCTTTACCTGTGCAAAGAAAGAAACAACGAAAGAAAAATGTCTGAGGACTTCAGTGTTGAGGAAGAGCATGAGTTATTTGCCGAGCTGAATGCGCACTTTCGTCTGGTTTGGTCTGCCGCGGTTTCCGTAGACTCGTGAACACGCTTTTAGGAAATCCTATACACTACTGTTTATGCTCTAAAAACATTCTAAATGACTTCGTTTCGAGTAAATTATGGACGCTACCCACTCAGGACACTTGGAATACATTGGACGAGCAGTATGGAGGAATATTGACACGTTTTTGTGGACTTTTATGGACCTTTCTGCCTCGGGCACCATAGACCTCCATTATTTGAATGTCAGCAGACAGCAAGAAGCCTCCCAGATCTCCAGATGCATTTGAGATATCAAAAAAGTACTCCAGAGTGTTGTTCAGCATGGGGGTGAGTAGAAATGAAGGCCAATCATGTTTTGGGTGTACTATTCCTTTAACATCTAAAGGAACACGTTTCTTTGGTTGGTAAATAATAACTCTGCCGATAGCCATAGTCTAAATTATTAAATTGGTGGAGGCAACCAGATTTAAAAAGCCGATCCAGGAGTCCAGCCTTTTATGTAACATATTAAGAACCCTGGTGTGTAAGGAAATGACAGTTGTAATCAATCAACTAATAATAAATATTTAGTTGCAAAAAGAAACAAGCAGACAAGGACAAGTCCTGATTTGATACATTGTTAAATTGTTGAGGTGTGGTGGTACTTGGACAACCTAGTTAAATTCTCCTTAATAAAACTTCTCATAGTGAGAGCAGCTGTTGTAGACAGTGCTGTTCTGTCTATCAAAGGCACATTGATGAAAGTTCCAATGAAAATGTTGAAGTTATTAAGAAACAGGAAGAACAGAGCTGTTGATGAAAAGCTCACTGTTCAAGCAGACTCCCACGCTCAACAGAAAATAGACCTGTTTACCTATCTGCAAATTAGTTACCGAGAACATTAATAAAAACACATTTGTTTTCCGTGTCTATGATGCAAAACTGATTCTGATCTCTGGATCTAAACAGACCTATGCAGGAAGCGCTTTTAAATTGGATGAGGGTATAATAGTAGTTTTCTTTTTTGTTGTTGTTTTTTCTTTCATCTATGAAGGTTATCCAATAATATTGCGGTGCGGCTGAGAGAGAGGATCATATCAGCTGAGATTGAGGAAAGTCCTGCAGAGGTGATTGTCAGAATGAATGACTCATTCAGCAGTACATTTAAGTGATGAGATGAAATGTGGAGTC